AAATTATTACTGATTTGATTTTTAATATGTTAAAAATAATCAGTCCAAATTTTCAATTTTAACCTATTGTTTTTGGTTCTTTTAAGTTGATGAAAAATTTTTGATAAAGATTTATGAAAGTTTATAGTAAAAAAATTGAATATATTACCATAACTTTTAGCTCAATTACAAGTTTAAAATTGACATCTAGGCCAGTCAACAAAGGAAAAATTATTCTATTATAGCAACCGATAACGACGAGCGTATACTAATATTTTATCGTATGGAAGATGCTGCCGGTTGTCCAACTACTGCTTGTGTGTAAGCGTACCGCAAATACTGAGGGAAACAACTTTAATGTTCGCACACGACAAATATATTATTAGGCCAGTCAACAAAGGAAAAATGGCGGAAAAAATGTTCAAACAAATTTTGTTTTTTTAAAAGTTGAATTAAAATATGTATAATGACATACTAATAGTCCTCAAGATTGGAATTGAGCTTTTTTTTTAAATCCTCGCAAAAGTTAAAAAATATGAGCTTTCTTAATTTTCTCAAAAAAAAATATTTAACTTACAAAAAAAAGTTTCGTACAAAAGTTGTTTAAAAGACAATTATAAATAAAAATATAATCTTATATTTTTTCATTTAAACAAATATTTTTCGAGTTACATTACATTTAATATGAGTAATAAAATTTATATTCCATTTTTTTCATTTTACGGTTACTTTTTATCATGTTATACTTACATTAGACACAATGTTATAAATGCATATGTGTGTATGTGTGAGTTTATTTATTTATTGTATCATTAAAGTGTAGTGTATATTGAGATACAACCGATAGAGTAGGTAATTGATTTGACGCTATATTATTTAAACCCAACTAAACGCTAAATTGTACATTCCGAAATAACAATCATATTATGTCAATTGCCACCGGAATATCTGGTAATATTTTTCTTTTTCTTTGCCTTAATCCCAACTACTTGGGGTCGGGCACCCTTATCCTAAGATTCCACTTGACACGATCTCCCACATCTTCTACGCTCACATCAGCTGTCCTCAAATCGCATTCAATAGCATCCCTCCATCTCTTTTTTGGTCTTCCTCTATCTCTTCTTCCTTCAACATTCATTTCTATAACTGTTCTTACAGCTTTCGATTCTTCTTTCCTCATACCATGACTAAACAATCTAAGTCTATTTTCTGTCATCTTATCCACGATTGACGCAACACCTATACTTCCTCTTATATGCTCGTTCCTTATCCTATCTTCTCTAGTCACTCCACTCATCCAACTAAGCATTCTCATCTCTGCTACACTTATTCTCTGCTCTACTTTCTTATCAACCGCCCAACACTATTAACCATACATCATAGCTGGCCTCACAATTTCATACTAAATTTAAAAACTATAATTAGTATTTATTCATATATTATATTTTAAAATCAAAGAACTACTAATCAGGATATAATTAAAGAAATAAGAGTTGATGTTGCTTTTGAATAATCCACCAATTTCTCTAAAAGAAACACTATCTACAGATTTGCATCGAAGCGTTTTTTATGATAGTGATTTTAATCACTGTCAGATATCATCAATACTTGTTCCATTTATGCCTCGTCCACACTGTGCCTCGACCTCACTGTGCTACCGTTTTTTTTTTTATAATTACCTTCAAATATTAATTTTTTTATGTTGTATACTTTTTTTATATTAAGACCATAGATATTTTTCTTTCATTTGATATACATTTTTTTGAAAATCTGATCTTTTACCTGCCCACAGAGGGGGATTTAAAATAGCAACTTCTGCACGAAAATTAAACTTTTTCAACTTAAATTTTGAAAATGTTCCTGAAAAACTCCGAGCTACAAACATATGTTAAATTAAAGTTAATGTTATTCACTATAAATTAAAAAAAAAAATTGTACCGGCGACTTATCTTCTATATGCAAAAGGTTGCCGTAGTAAAAAAACATGCAGTTTTGGTGTTAAAATTTACAAATTCATACTTTATGTTTACTTTTTTTATTTGACAAAAAGAATTATTTTGATTTGTTCATTTTTCAATAAGTGATGACGATTTTTAGGGAAAAAAAATGTCACATTTACCAATTTTAAAAATTAATTTAAAACTATGTTAAATATAATTCTGAATATTTTACCTAATGGACCCATTTAAATACCAAAAGTCACATAGAAATTAATGTTGCGATATTCATTAAAATGATTTATTTCATATTAAAACAAACATGTTATAAGACTTTAAGTAAAAAAATTTAAAAACGATGATTTTTGAACCAAAATAATATTTTTTGGTTACCTTTGGGAATCATTTACATAATGAAGTAAAGTATTCAGGAAAACATTTTTTTTAACTTAAAATACATAAAATAAGCTTCATTTAAAAATATGTTTGAAGCTTGGAGAATTTCTGTATTTTTTTCAAACTTAAGTTGAAAAATTTAACCTTTAGCTTCGACGCCAAGCTGAGAAGGTATTAAATTTATTATGATTTGTTTTTTTTGTACATAGTTGCTATTTTAATCCCCACCAAGGTCGATTATCAAAAAATTTTTATGAAATTAAAAAATAAATTATTTTGTTACGTTAATTTTTCAAAAAAGTTGTCAGTTAAGAAAAAATGATTAAAAAATTCGAAATTGATCGATTATATTAATCACAAGTTTTTTGGTGATTTCACCAAATTACACGGAGCGAGGAAAAAATTGTTAAATTTTTTAAGAACAATATGTTTAACTCGATACGATTTGTGATATTTTGACGTATCGTTGAAAGAAATTAGTCAAGTGATGGCTGAATAAAACATAAAAAAATATACATACATCATAGTAAAATTATATCTTCTTAGATTTCGCATCGAAACTAAAACCAAGAAGTTGAGTTTAAATTTCATATTTATTTTGCTAGTAATTGAGTGGGTTATTATGTTATGGTGACTCTTTGTATTTTTTTTCTCGGTTAATTTTACTTTTTAAAATTACTTTTTCCTATAGTATTTTAGTACTCGGGTAATTTTTTTTCATAACTTGCAGATGTCCACATATTCATCAATTTATAATAATTTACTTTATTTCTTGACTTAATATTTTAATATCATTCTTAATGTTAAGCTGATTTCAATTTTTTTTTAACAGATAACAATCCATATGTATGTAGTGCGTTAAGACAATATAAGTTTTTAACTAAGTTGCAAAATGTAATTAAAACTGATAAAGGTTGGAAATTCGTATATGAAAATTTGAATAAATTAAAATCATTCTTAGCTAATCCAGATAACATTAAATTACACATTACTGGTAATATAGATAAATTATGTGATATTATTCCTGGAGCATCTGCTGCATTACAAAAAATTATTCCAGATATTTTAAAGAGACCAGTACATCCGTAATAAACATTGATTTATAGTATTACATTTATATTTAATGTTACATTTAATTGAAATTTTAAATTTTAGATTTAAAACACAGTTGGATTCTGAATTTATGTTACCTTTAAATCAATGTAGAATTCGAGCTTGTATTGTTGGAATGGGTTCTGTTGAATCAAGTCATTTCATTCAAGCTACTGATTGTATAAATGATTATAACCATACAGACATAGCTGCTATTCGTGTACTTTTGGCATACTTTACTCAAATAGAAGTATGTAATCATTATAATTAAAATGTACTTTTTACTAATTGTTATTTTGCAATTCATTCAATATTTTTACCCCGAATCAAATTGGCCAAAGAGATTTATTTTTATTATGCAGTATAGATACATTTTATATGTGTAATATAAATAATACAACGTGTTGTGTTTTTAATATGAAAGACAACATCAAATAGTTAAACAGAAAATAAGACTTTATTGAGAAACAATATAATTGTTAATGAAGTGTGTGTCAGTGATCGCACTCTAGAGTAGTGGACAATCCCCACTACTAATTTATATAATATTTATCAATACGTAACACCGTAACTGTACCGTCGGATTTTAGTATTGGAACTATTGGCGTGGCCCATTCACTATGATTAAGCGGAACTAGTATTTTGCTTTTAACTAAATGATCGATTTCCGTTCCTATTTTATTTTTAAAACCTAGAGGAATTGATCTCGGTTTAAACAATTTTGGAAACGAATCCTTTTTTATATTGAGTGAAATTTCATATTTGTTAAAAGTGCCTATTTCGTCTTTAAATAGATCTTCATATGAGTTTAATAAAATATTCAGATTATTATTTATTTCCAGATTATTATAAATGGGTAAATACTTTATTTTGTTTAAGTCGTTTCTACCTATTAGTAGAGGCCCACCTTTTTCTATCATGCATATGCACATTTTAAATACTTTTTCTAAATATTTTGTATTTACTTCTATTTTACCTATTGGAATTATGTTATTTCCGACATAATCAGTTCCGTTCGAACCAACGTTCGCGCGACCGACTTCCTGTTTAATAAAGTAAATTTTTCAAATTAATTAGAGTGTTCGTGTTTTAAATTTTTAGTTTAGATACCCGCTCTAAAATCAACACATATGTTGCAGCTGTAATCCTTGTATCGACAGTTTCTTTTTAATTGGTTTGAGCGGGCACATACTCCACACTTTGGTTTATCCGATGGTTGACGATTGACCTGTTTATTTTGGCGAAGTTGCTTTTGATAGTTGAGTTCCGATTCATGCTGTTTCTAAGTATTTTTTTCTCTCATGGTAGCTTTCTTAGTAGTCACTATATCCATTAGATTTGTATACGTGGATTTTAGATCAGATGCGTCTTCTTCTATTAGCCGGTCTTATATTTTTCCAGGACTCATTCCTACAACGACTATATCTCGTATAACAGTGGGTAATTCTGACGAGAATTTACACTTCGATCCAAGATTTTTGATTCGAGCACCCCATTCTGCCACCGTTTCATCAGTATGTTGTTTTGCCTGGTAAAATGTATGCCTAGCTGCAAAGTATGATTTAACCGGCTTGTAGTATTGATTTAGAAACTTTAATAATGTACTGTGTGATTGAGTGTCTGGTATGCTAGGTACACATATGCTAAATAAAATTTTATGAATTTCTTCNACACATATGCTAAATAAAATTTTATGAATTTCTTCACTGACAGGCAATAGCAATATGGCTTTCTTTTGTACTTTATTTTCGATTCCATTCGCCAAAAAGAAATTTATCAATTTTGACTCGAAAATGGTAATATCCACTCTCGGTTCAAATGTACCCGTATTACCAATAACTTGATTAAAACTCACTATTGGTTTCGTATCATTCATTTTGGATCAATATAGCAATTTTCACTTTATAAAATTATAAATTTATGAAAAAATTATGATTTATATTTAATAGTTAATAAAATCACTTAATTAGATAGTATGATCTAAGAAACGTTTTCCTCGTAGCCAATTGATTGTGTTTTTAATATGAAAGACAACATCAAATAGTTAAACAGAAAATAAGTCTTTATTGAGAAATAATATAATTGTTAATGAAGTGTGTGTCAGTGATCGCAGTCTAGAGTAGTGNAAGTGTGTGTCAGTGATCGCACTCTAGAGTAGTGGACAATCCCCACTACTAATTTATATAATATTTATCAATACGTAACACAATGTATTTAAAGAGTGAGAACATTTAAAAAATGTTACTATATAAACGATCATAATTATCCAGACATTGCTGCTTTTCAAGTAATTTTGATATACTTTACTCAGGTGGAAGTATGTAATCAATAGATTAATATATATTTTTTATTATAATTCTTTTTTTGCAATTGAGTAAAAAGTGTTAGGTAGAGAACGTCTTTAGCAATGACCTAGCGGATCAGTTGTCACAAACACTGTTGATTATAATCAATAATAAAATATGATAATATAATTATATTATATCGTGTAACAGCTGATCTCTAGCGTCTTTGCTTTACTCACCCCCTTGTGTTACGAAAAAATTTGGAATGTTATAGACTGATAGTAGCACACACAAATAGAGTAAAAAAATTAATAAATTACAATGTAAAATTATATAATATTAAATCTAATTCGACAATATAGTATAAAAATATTAGAAATGAATGATTTTAATTGTTTGATTTTTGAAAAAGTTATGGAAGCTTTAAAAAAAAAAGAAAAAAAAAATGATAAAATATACCGATTTATAAATTTGTAATTTTTTTGGAGATTTCCCCCATTTGCGGGGAATGAGGGGAATTTTCTCAAATTTTGAGGGTAATGTCTTCAACTAAATGCTATTTGTGATCTTTTGACGTATTGTTGAAAGAAATCGGTCCAGAAAAAGTAACAACAGAAATAAAAAAAACACATAATGTTAAAATTAATACCTTCTCAGCTTCGCATCGGAGCTATAAAAATCACTACCTGCCCATCAAAAACATTACAAGTCTTAATCTTTTTGCATTTCACTTTTAATAATAATCTTCCAATAATTCGAAAAAAATAAGTTACATAGATTTCTTACTATTTATTGTTATTTATTGTTGGATGACTAATTTTAACGTTTATGAAAAAAATGTTGAACGTGGCCAATAATATTTTAACCACCCAATAGAAATAATATATATACAAATTTTTTAAAGTTGAGTTGGATTTAAATAAATTTTATTCAAATTATTTTATCTTTTTTTACTATAATAATTCCAAATTAGCATATTTAGCATATAGCATATAATTAGTTAGCATATTCACGTGACATGTTCAAAGAAATAATAACTGATAAAAGACTTATTTTATATATGTATTACATTGCAATTGATCAGACTATAATATTTTGTTGAATTCAAATATTATGATTTGTAAATTTTTTATAATTATTATTCAAAATTTTATTGAATTGAAATAAAATCAGGTTATATCTTTGTATAATGATTATAATGTATTCAAATTTATAATGACTTCAGTAGGTAAAAAAACATTAATATTTTAATTACGTATAATGGTGTTTTCCGAACGGTTCGAAACTCGGTCACGGTCAGCTTCATTTGCCGAATGACAGATAAGTTTGGTAATTAGAATCGCCATCCCTCTCTCCGGTGACCGACTAACAACCCGTACCGGAGTATAAATGGTTAAAAAAACCACCACTTAGAGGGAGGTCGCTATGGCTCTTAATGAACTAATAAATACAATAAAAAGTGCAATAGAATATCAAAAATAAATGGTCTTTTACTTTAAAAACCTGCATTTATAACTCATTATAATTAATGTAATAATTGTTTATAACAGGGACCTATATGGAAGAAAATTCAAGGATCAGGTTTTGCTTATATTTATAAAATTATTTTAAACCTAGACGAAGGAAAAATATATTTAATGTTTTTCACATCTGTAAATTTACCAGCTGCTTATCAAGCTACTAAAACAATAATTGTAAGTTCAATTGGAAAAAATGAATAATTTATACCTAGTTTAAAAAAAAACTAAAAAAATCTTATTATGAATATTTAAAATAATTTCTTTAAAATAATTTTATTTAATAAGCTTTAATTTTCATTAATTACATAATATGAATATATCACTTATAGCTAATATTATTTTAAATTTTAAATATATTTAAAATATTAAATAACTAAAAAATATTAAATACAAAAATTCACTGCCTATAAGTATTTTGAAATTTTACACATACTATTTGTGTTTGCGTTGATGGTGGTAATAATGTTCCTAAAGTACTTTTTAAGCAATTTTTTAGTATTGCTTTTTGTCATAGATTATTATTTAATGTAAACAACATTTTTATTGTTCAATCTGTTTATAATTTTAGGATGAACATTTATCCAGTGGATTTTCTTGGGATCAAACACTTTTCGAATCAGCAAAAAGTTGTGCTATTTTTGAAACGGTTAACGAAGAGAATTCAATTGATGCATTAACTACACAATCAATTTTGCTAAGCTTACGAAATTTAAAACAAACTTATAACCAGTAACGTTTTAATCATTATAATGGCATATCTTAAAAATATATGTATGTATTTTCATTAGGGACCTTATAAAAAAAATATCATTAGTAAAACTTGAAGATCTTTCTAAAATCGGCAGGAAGTATGTGATGCCGTTATTTAATCCACAATCTACAATAACTGCAGTGGTATGTCCTCCTACAAATGTTGAAGAAACAGCTAATGAATTTGAAAAGTAATATTTTAAATGACATTAGAGATGAAGTTGTGTAAATGTAAATAAATGGGATAATTATAAATTCAATTTTTTTTTTTTAAATATATAGTAGATTTTATATTATATTGAAAAGTTATGGCCCTCATTTGTGTTACTTTAGTATTAAATTAAGTTCGAAATTAAAACTTGTAGATTTATCTAAAAAACTGAAATTACAATTAGGCTAATAGTTTACATTTACACCACTTCACAACATTAATATAAATAACAATTTACTAATGAAAATATTATTTCAATTTTCAGAATTGGTATTAAAATGAATGTGTATAAGTCTTTAGATGAAAATTTTCTAAATAATTAACAGCATACTTGGAGTTGAATGTTTTTTTAAATCATTTTATCAAATCTAAAATTTAGTATATATTATATTTATTAAATAAAATATATTACTCAGCCAAAGACAATCAAAGTACATGTTTAAAAAATTTTAAAGAATGACCTTTTGTATTGTAAAATTAATTGTTTGCAAAATATTTCTAAATATGTCATAAAATACATAATAATGAAATACTTATACTATAATAATTTATTTTTACATGAACATGTTGGTTTTTAGAAAAGTGTACATTCATCAAAATTCTCAAATATTAAAGACTATATAAGTTACATGATTTAGATTCATTAATATTTACTTTGGAGTTTGAGAATGATTTAAAAAAGGATTCTCAGGGTATTCAGAAAAATATTATGTTCAAATATGACTAACTGATAACTGAATTTGTTAGTCATTTTATATAATAATACTATATATAATACTAGTTATTGTTTTATTATGTTAATTGCCATTTTTCTGTGTTAATATTACTAATTAAAAAATAATTTTTAATAACGCTATTGTTAACCTTTAACAATTTATGTCTTAACTATTAGCTATAATAATAAAACGTATAATTTTTGGTATACATAACATATTACAATAATCATGATTAAATTGATAATATATAGACCAGTGGCGTAGCGTGTGCGTATACTGTGTATGCACAGCATATACTTCGCAAATTACAAAAATAATTTTTTTGATATATATTAATAATGCTATATTTTAATGAAAAAATTTTCAACTGTACTAATTTAGTATTTCATAATATAATATTTTGTGGATTTTCTTCCAAGTTCATTAATCATTTAAATTGATTAATCCGCAATACCACGGTCGCGCAGCGCTTTAGTCCTTATAATATCTAGTGGATAGTACCTACCATGTTTATTATGTACGCAGTATGCACGTTGGCGAGTGCATACGGGTACAGACATTCAGCGACAGTTAATTATATTCCTTATCGATAATATTAATAAGAAAACATATTACGCTCGCGATCGTGTATTAGTCACACGTGTATGCGGGATTAGTATTGCATACGTTGTCGTTGACCGTCGTATATCGAGTTATTCTGTCGATTTACTAAACTATTATTATAAGTGTGTGTTAACTGTATATTGTGTGGCACGTCAATAATGAATTCAAATAATACATTAATTTGCGAATGTGCAATTGAAAACTTGTTTTTAAAGCCTTTCGGTTCTCTAAATTTTGATGAGAAAAAAAGTATTATTGAGATTGGAAGACCCACGCCGAAATTACCGTATTTAACGACAAAATAAACTTACAATTTCAGCGCATACACTAAGCTGAAACTCACGCTACGCCACTGATATAAACCAGTACTTATTAATATTATTTATAAAATAAATGATCTAGGCATGAAAAAACAAATTAAAATAATAATAAATGAAAACATGTGACACGGTCCTACATCGCTTCGTGTTTCACGGAGCTTCACAATCTGTGCGGTCTCTATCAGCCGTTGATCTATTACGTGTAAATTGTAGTTTGACTGGCTAAGTCAGGGGTCATACGAGAATAAAAGAATCATATCATCATGCTGTTTGCGTTTCGTGTGCAGCACATTTCTTAAACCTAATTGACGAAAGTGTTTCTAGTTGTTGTACACATGGTAATGCATTTTTAATTTTCTTCTAAATATTTATTATTTTTTTTCGATAGCAACCTATCACTGGGGCGTGCTAGAATAGTGCTTAACTAAACTAGAAAATTTGACTGTTAAACGATTATCTGACACCCGATGAGCTGCTAGATATTAAGTTTGTTTAAGTCTATTGAACATATAAAAATGAGAAAGTTATCTCTATAGATTTTGGATTTAGAAAAGATATAAAGAAATTAGTGAATATTATGTATATCAATATCTAATGTAAATNTGAATATTTTGTATATCAATATCTAATGTAAATTAATTGCCAATGGGAAGTTCCAGCTATATTTCCCGTAGCTGAGAGAGTGACTTGTTAGGAGGTAAATCTGTTGTGTGAATTTATGATGTAGAAGTTTTTAATATTGGTTCTGTCGTAATATGCTCAATGCTTTGCATTACGCATCTTACAATTATCAATGAAAAATGTATAATCTGTATTTTAAATAACTTGTAAACTAACAAATAATTTATCTGTCATAACAAATACGATGTTCAACACAATTTCTTATTATTTATATATATGTATGTCAATTTATCAATTGTTGTTAGATATGTTATCTCAATATAATAATCATGTAATGTATAATTAAATACAATAAACTAAAAAGATCACTAAAAGCGCTGACAACAATATCCCTGGATTGGGGGTACTATCATTTTACTATAAAAAGCACTGAAATCCTTTCAGACTTGAAGGAATGACAGCGAGAGAGAGAGTTCGCTTTCTCCGAATTGAAATAAGAATAAAAAGAAACAATTATCAGTCATAGTCCTGTGTTGTTGTCGGCTGACTTTTACGCGTTTTATTTATATATGAAAAGAATTTGTTTTAATTATTTATCTTTTGACGAAGTGCGAATTAAATACTTTTAAACATATCGAGATATTTCTCAAATCATTTTACAGCAATTTGCAAGAATAAAAGAAGTAAGTAATTTTATGTTATCCCAATTATTTGGAGTTAATAAGTTTGAGTAAAGGATGACAAAGCAATAGATCATTTATTAAATTAATATCTTAAAGTGTCAATTTTGACTGGTTGGTTAAAGAAATTATACATAATCACGTTATATGGTATTCGTGAACTGGCTCTGCCGTTTCGTTGCCTTAAAGAAGTTTTAATAAAACCTAGCACGATTTCTACTGTATAAATTAGACTCTGCCGTCTCGTTTTCGAGGTATTCGTGAACTGGCTTCGTCGTTTCGTTGCCTCTTAGTTAGGACATTAGAAACTAACCAGACAAAAGTTTATTTTACCTTGAATAGAGTTACTACGTTTATTATTTTTATATCTACTTGTCTTTGTCGTTCTAAACCCTCAAACCATACGATCTCGATAGAACCACAACATCAGGTTCTCACTATATACAAAAACCCAAGTCACCATCTTTATTTTTATTATTATCATTATTTGTATTTTATTAATTTTTGTTATTTGAATTATAACAGTTCCTTGACTGATTTATTTGACACTTTGGTCAACTGACACGTAGATATACTCTGCTACTTGTTTTCTCATTCCTGTCCAACATTAGTCGGCTCTAAGTTTACTAAGAGTCTGCTCTAAACCTTTATTTAAAGGAGTATCGTGGAAATCTTTAATGAGTCTAAGTTTATCTTCAAGTGTTAAATGATCCTTACTAAAAACATTGATAACAATATTGAATTATCTAAAAATGAATCTTAACATGGATTTAACTTGATTCCAATTGATTTGATCTAACCCATATCCTATTTTTGGTTAAATTATTTTCTTGACAAAAGATATTTAGATTTATTAGAGTCTTGAACAAGATTTCGTCTTGTTATATCATAAACTAGGTTTATGACAATAATTAGCCTTTGTAAAAAGTTATAGGATATATTTCTTATTGTGGATTAAAATTGTAATTTCTGTCACTATTGGCTAAATGCCAAACGTCGTTTTCATCAACGATCAACGATCAAAGAGATGTCCGACGATTTCCTAAACATTCGAGGTAAGCAAGTATGCTCGAGCTGTTGTTTATCTATCTTACTAGAGGTCTAATTTTGAATTTGAATGATCCTATGATGTAAAATGATTTTGTGATATCGAAGCTTGTTCCTTTGACTAAGCCTGGGTTATAATGTGTATGTAGATAAACGCATCAGCGTTGGTATTATGAGAACCTTGCTAATAATGAATTTCATATTCATATTCTTCTAATTTAAGTCTTTATCTCGTTAGCTTTGAGCCATGGTCTTTGATATTGAATAACCATACATAAGTTAGGTGGTCTGTTACCACGTTGAACTTTTGTCCAAAATGATATGGGCAGAACTGCTTAATACCACATATAATCGAACACATCTCTTTTTCGGTTGTATTATAATTTTGTTCGGCTAGATTCAGAGTTTTAGATACGTACGCGATTGGTAAATCCTTTTAGTGAAAATATATTTTTAAATAAATATGTCCGTGAGGAAGTACATGAAAACAAGATTTCGTAAGTAAGTTTAAAATGTTAATCATTATTGCGTTTCCAGACCGGTGGTCGTCACCTGCGGTCACTCAGCGTCTCGCGACCTGTCGGTCGAGGAGAGGCAGCTGTGTCGCAGTCGTCACCCAGTGGTAAAGCCGAAAGTGCAACGCAAACCACATCACATGACCCAAGAAATGTACTTCTTTTCACATGAATGAACATTTGGAAGGTTAGAGCTCTAGATTAAAACTCAGAAGTCGTTTGAAAACATCCTTTAATTTGTTTTCATGATTTTTTTTGAAGATGCGTAGACTATTATGTCATTCAAATAGACAAATGCTTTTAGTCCGGTTAGACCACTTAATACAGAGTTCATAAGACATTGAAAAGCAGAAAATGCACCTTTGAGGCCGAAAGGGATTCGAAGGAACTCAAAGTTGCCCTGATCTATACTAAATGTACTTTTTTCTTAATCTGAGTTTATTTCTACATAATGGTAGTCTTCTATGAGATCCAGAGTTGAATAGTACGAGGATTTTCCTAATTGATCTATAGAATGTCATCTATATTAGGAATAGGATATACGTCGCCTGCAGAGACTTGATTTAATTTTCTGATATCGATCCATACATGATATTTCACAACACCATTACTGTCCGATTTCTTCAGTACAACTAAAAGTGGTGCGTTCCAAGGCTTTTGATAGGAGCAAATATGATTTGATTTTCGAGTTCTTTAATCTGTTTAAATTTACTTAAAAATAAATTTATTTGATACTGCTATTTAATTTAGAATGAATCAATCGCAAAGCATGTATTTTTTTTCAACCTATATTAGGTTTTTAACTTCACTCTCAATTTATCACGATCTTCAGCAAGTCTTTTTAATCCGGCGTAAGTATCAATCGCTGCATAATTTTTTTAGTCGTGACATGTATGAGTTTCTTGGTCTTCCTGGGGGTTTTCATTCTTAAATTGCACCTTCTATTATAATATGGTGCAATTCTTCGTCATGA